AAGATAAGCTAATCCTAATCTGATAAGCTACTAACAAGATAAGATAAGCTAAGCTAATCCTAATCTGATAAGCTATTAACAAGATAAGATAAGAGATAAGAACAAGCAAAATGAGCTAATCTAATMTAGATAAGGCTGYYGTTGCCGAACTGGGTAGGATGAGCATCACTGAATCCTTGCTGCTGCTGGCGGTGGGCCCGGGGCCTGTTGCTGCCGGCGGCGATGGTACGTCCTCCCGAGGAAGGCGTCCATAACATATTCCTTGTAACTTTTTTCCAATATTAATGAATTCCGTGGTTATTGATAAAAAAAAGTACCAGATTAATTTCATTAACTAAAAACTCCTAAGTTCTCCATAAATAAGGCAATTGGCCCAAGTATATACAATGCCAACATATAAAAAATATATCATTCAGAGAGCTGTGGGCAAGCTGATTTCTTGGGTATCTGTATCTGAGGAATTCAAAAGTCTGAATCTGTCTTCTTTCCCTTGCTCTAATTCCTGGTGGAGAGTGTAACTGCTATGATTTTCAGGCTGCCCTTCTGGGTCTGAACCCAGCTTGTATGTTTTTTTGAGTTGAATAAAATTACATTACCTTTTCCAAAAAAAAAAAATTGATGCCCAGTCCCAGTGTGTACCCAGTTCCATTCCTTACAGCACCTGTCGATGCCAGCCACATAATTTGCACTTCTAGGCACCCATTTGAACTAGCACCTAGGTTTTGTGCAAACTTTACCGAAGTTGTAAATTTCCACGGAACTTGTTTCTTCATTCAAAACATTATAGTTTGGCAATCTACCTCCACCTCCCTCATTCCATGCATTTTCACAAGTCTTAAGCATGATATCATTTTCTTATTAGTTAGGTTGATGGAGATCCTATACATAAGCTATACCACTCGTTCCTTGTAACCTCTGTTTATGGACTCTGTTCCTTCCTTTTTGATTCTGCACTGCAATGGTGTAGTCAAGGATTTCTTTGGGGCCCAAAGAGGAGTGAGACAAGGGGATACACTTTCTCCCTTCCTTTTAACAATTCTAGCAGAGGTGCTTGGTAGACTGATTTTGAGGGTGGATAAGAGGGGTCTTTTAAAGGGGTGGAGAATAGGACGGGAGAGAGTGGTTGTAACTCACCTACAATTTGTGGATGACATCATTATCTTTTGTGAGAGTGGAGGTGAGTTAGATGCAAGAAACCTAAAGATGCTGGTGAATCTATTGAAAAAATGACAAATCTAAAGGTGAACCTCAATAAAAGTGTGGTGGTGGGGATAAACTTAGCTCAAGAGGAGAATAACTTGTGGGTTGGGGAGCTAGGCTGCTTACGGAGTGACTGGCCGCTGAGGTATCTAGGTCTTCCCCTTGGGGAAAATCCTAGAAATCTAGAATTTTGGAATCCGGTAGTGGAAAGGTTTGAAAGGAAGTTGGCGGTGTGGAAGAGGAACTACATTTCTTTGGGGGGTAGGATTACTCTCATTAAATCTACTTTTAGCAAATCTTCCAGTGTATTACCTTTCGGTGTATTGCATGCCTCAAACTATTGGAAAGAAATTGGAGAGTATAATGAGGGATTTCTTGTGGGAACCGGGTGATAAGAAGAAAGATCATTTAGTAAAATGGGAACTAGTGAATAGGAGGAAGGAGTTTGGAGGCTTGGGATTAGGGAGATTGAAGGAAAGGATTAAGGCTTTACTAGGAAAATGGTTATGGAGATTCCCTTGTGAGACGGATAGGTTGTGGCACAAAATTGTGGCTAGCATACACGGGCTCTCAGAGAATGGATAGGATGCTGGAGTATCTTGTAGGGCTTCTAGCGCATCACCATGGAAAGCGATTCACAAACTCCTTCAACTTTTGCTCAGTCATGCCAGGTTTGATCTCAATTCAGGTAACAAAATTAATTTTTGGGAAGATGTGTAGGTGGGTAACTCTCCTTTGAAGACACTGTTCCCCTCAATTTATGCCCTTTCCTCTCTTAAGAACAAAATCTGTTGCTGATTTCTTAATCCCCTCTTCCTCCCAGTCCAGTTTTGCTTGGAATCTGGGGCTTCGTAGAAATGTGAGGGATTCTTAGATGGGCTTGGTGTCCTCTCTCCTTCAGCTGCTAGATGGAGTGTTTCTTGATACCTCCAAACAAGATACTAGGCTTTGGACCCCTCACCCCTCTGGAGCCTTCAGTTGTGCTTCTTTAAAACCTTGTCCACTTATGCTCAAACTGGGGTACTGTTTCCAGTCCAAGAAGTTTGGTATCGTGCTATTCCCCCGAAAGTGAGTGTTTTTTGTTGGGAGGTCTACCATGGTGCAATTAACACCTATTATCTGATGCAGAGGCAGAGGCCTGGCTGGTGCCTTTCACCTAATTGGTGTTGTTTGTGCGAGTCAAGTGGCCAAACTGCTTTTCATATTTTTGTCTCCTGTCCTGTTGCTAGCTGTATTTGGGACTGGTTTTTCTCTCTCTTTGGATGCAGGTAGGATACCCCGATGAGTTTGGAAAGGCTATTTGACTCCTCCACTTTCAGATGGCCAAAAAGAAGAGGTAGAATGCTATGGAGATGCACTCGGGCAGCTGTTCTTTGGGTGATATGGGAGGAGAGAAATCTGAGAATTTTTGAAGAAAAGAAAAAAATGCAAGGAAGTGATAGAAGGGATCATGATAAAGGTGATTTTGTGGGTAAAATCTGTGGGATTGTTCTCAGGTTTCACTGTGGATGATATCTTCAGAAATTGGAGGACAGTAGCTTCCTCTTCATCAACTAAAAAGGTCTTAAGAGAATGGGATCCCCCTGACTGGCTTCCTCAAATTAAGCTTTGATGGAAGTAGTTTTGGGCTTTTGGCAACCCAGGAATGTCTGGAATTGGAGGGGTGATAAGAAATGACAAAGGGACTGTGGTGGGATTGTTCTCAGGCCCTATTGGAAGGGGAGACTCCACTACAGCTGAACTAAAGGCAGTGGTTTTTGGGATACAAAAGGCTACGGAGTTGGGAGTGAGAAAGCTGGTTGTGGAAGGCGATTCCAGAGTGGTCATAAGTTGGTTAAAGCAAAATATAAAGACTCCCTGGCTCTATAGAAATGAAATTAAGAAGTTTAAATGCTTCAAGGACATGCAGCTGTTAATACAGTGGATTCCAATAGCCACAAATGGCTTTGCAGATCAGATTGCAAAACAGGGGGTTTACAGGGAACATTGTTTCTGGGCTCAGTTGTAAGGCTGGATAATTAAAAGTCGATAGTTGGCAAAGTCTAAATTCTAGTGGGGTAGCCGAGGCTACTCATTTCTGTAATCTTTCTGAATTTATTAATGAAATCTCTTTTACTGATAAAAAAATGGTACCTTATGTATTACATAGTTCTACCTTGTCTAGGACCATTTGGTTTGAGACACATTGCTTAGTTGGTGGCATGCAAGAGCAAGGCATAACTTTAAAAAACAAACATCACCAAAGTTTAATATTTGAGTGGTATACATGGAACAAGGAAGACTGGCATATCCAACCAAGAGAAAAGGGCCATTACCCAATGGATATGGACCTAACCTCTCTCTCTCTCTCTCTGTTTTGTTTTTTTTCTTTTTTTTCTTTTTTTCTTTTTTTCTTTTGGCACAAAGTGGCTGCCTTTAGACTTGAATCCATGTTTTGCTGCAACAAATGGCTCTTCAGACCAACAAGAGATGTATCTAATATAGAATATATACTCTCAGATCCTCTGTAAAGAGAAGCTTGTCTAGTCTCCTGTTAGGTCCTAAAATGGTTTGCTTGATCAATTTTTGGCATGTTGGTTTCTTTAAGTAATAAATTTGCTTCTGTTAATGATAAAAAAAATGGCATGTTGGTAATGGCTAGCATGTAGTAGTAGACTACTAGTAATGTGCTATTACTAAGAAAATGCATGTTTGTAGCTCCTTGAATTAATTAAAATCTGAATCCCTCATGACTGCATAGCTTGTATTTTACTAAGCAAATAAAGCCTGACAACTAATTTAAAGTTCACAAATAAATATAACTGTTTGATTTATATGATGATAGTCCATTGTAATAGCTTAAGGAAAACCTGTTTTCTGATACTCGATTTTTGTACTTTTTTTCTTCTGCAAACCAATGTACTTCTCAAGGCCCAAAACAACAACTAATAAAAGTGCAAGAATAATTATTGTACTATAAAAATAAGATGCCTCTAATGAAACCAAAGAATACCAATAGACAATGGTTTACCTTTCAATTGTTGCTTGAACTTTGTGCATTCCCTGTGTTGCATGGACCAACAATATCGATCTTGACAATTGTTATGTTCAAATAAATCGTAGTCTGATTTTAGGTATAACTTTTGCCAGGTTCTGGGGACGGACGAATTAAATGCATATTTGAACAAATATCATCTGGAGCTTGATCCCCAACTTGACGCCCTTGTTGGGAGGTATGTCCTACATGAACTATGATTTTTGTCTGTAACAGAAATACTGTTCAATAAGACCTATGGTTCAATAAAACATTGGCATGTCTACCAAAAAATAATTAAATATTGGCATGCCTATCCATGCCATTCATCGGTATGATTTGGTTAACTATTTTTGCAGGCATAGCAGGAAGCCTTGGTCCAAATTTATTAATGCAGATAATCAACATCTAGTTTCTCCAGAGGTCATATTAAGTTTCTTGAAAACCAATTAGATTTACTTTTTTCTTGATCCATTATGTTTCAGTTATCTATCTCTTATTTACTCTCTTGATTTTATTTTTCATTCTTGACATGTAGGCCATTGATTTTCTGGATAAACTACTCCGCTATGATCACCAGGACAGGTTTACCGCAAGAGAAGCAATGGTAAGTCTAGATATTCTAGTTATAACTATTATGCTCCATCAGCCTTGTTTCAGTGTCGACAATGTCTTCAGTAATCTTTAATACCTGCTTTTTATTTTCTGCACAGGGCATCTCTTCTGCAACCTAATTCATTTTTGTTTTTATTTTTTCCTTTTTTACATTTTTCTCTTTTTTCCCTTGTTTGAATTCAATGTATTTATTTGGCTAGGTGCTTGACTAGTCCTTTATCTTTTTGCTCTTTCCTTTTTTCCTTGAAAGTCTGGGTCTACTGCACTTGCATTCAGTCTGTGGCACGTATCCTATTACATGTGTGGGCTTGTATGCACCAGTATATTCACATGTGTAATGGGACACCTGTCACAGATTGAATGGAAGTGTATGGCAAGTTCAGTGCAAACAAGTGTAGCAGATCCAGACTCCTTTGCCCCCTTTTTTAGTTCTACAAGAAAATACTTATTATATCATATTGTGTCATGTATTTACCTTTCTTCTGTAGTATATCTTACGTTAAGTTCTACCTACTTGTTCTGTAAAATATGCGTCTGTACTATTAGCACCAAATAATCCATAATGTGATGGAAAATGTCCTTTTTTTCACATAAAGCTCAGGAACTTTGTGTTGCATTCATTTGTATGCTACTATGCCGGTTAGTTCCTAAACAAATAACAAATTATTTATTTTAGTTCTAAAATTGGTATAAAAATCTAGTATGTTCAGTACACTACTCCAATATGATATTCTTTTGTTCTACTCCAGGCCCATCCTTATTTCTTGCAAGTGAGAGCTGCAGAGAATAGCAGGGTGAGAACTCAGTAAACTCTGCATCTTGAGGATTTCATTCAGCATAAATGTAAGGTAGGTGCCATTAATTTATGAGTTGCCTCCTTACATGTTTTATACTATTAGTTGCTGTGTTCCAGTTTTAAGCAGTTGTATTTGACATACAAGGTTAATGATACTAGTAGTTACACAAATTTTATGTTGTATATCTGCATGGTATTCGGGCTGTTTGAGAGGCTATATGTTGTATTTTTACATGTTTTTTACACAGTTTTTAACAGTTAATTACAATCTATCGTTAATACTAAATTACTAATATAATTGTGGCTTTGGATATCTGCATCTCCTATGCAAAGGAGAAACCATGGGAATCAACTCCTGTAGTTCTATAACTATAAATTATGCATTCTAAGGCGCTCATATATCTTTGAGATGCTTGAGGCCTGGAACAATCACGCCATTATTTTCTCCATCAATTAAAATACTTGCGGGCTGTTATCAAAATCTAATAAAAAACTCGTACGCAGATGACTTTAAATTTAGCATGGGGAAGATAGAACCAAAGGTACTGTTCATGATTTATAATCTATATCAAATGCTTTCTTTCAGCTCTAATAGTACCCATGCCCACTTGGCCCACCCCATTTGATGTCAATTTGTCTAGTGCCAATGTTTTTCATGAAGAACCAAAAGATGGCCAGATGGATCTATCAAATTCATTTATCTAACAACTTGAAATGAACTTTTAGTAGATTGGAAGCTCAAACATTGCTTGATGTATTAATAAAATTAGGGTAAAATACAAAAACCTCCCTGAAGTTTGACATTCATAAAAACTTTCCCTATAGCTTCATTTTAACAAATACCTCCCCTGAACTTTTGAGAAACTCGACAAAAACTTCCCTTCCGTCACCTTCCCAGATGGAAAACGATAGACTGATGCACCTGTTTTTTCAAAATACCCATTCTACCCTTTTATAAATTATTTTACATACAAAATTATTGAAATAATCCTGTTTTAACTCAACAAAAACATTAAAAGATGACTGTTAAAGGAGGTTTTTGTCAAATTAAAATAGGGTTATTTTAGTAAATTTGTATATAAAATAATTTGTAAAAGGATAGAATGGGAATTTGAAAAAACTGGTGTATCAGTCTACCATTTTCAGTCTGGGAGGTGATAGAAGAGAGGTTTTTGTCAAGTTTCTCAAAAGTTCAGGGGAGGTATTTATTAAAATGAAAGTATAGGGAAGTTTTATGATTGTCAGAAACTTCAGGCAAGGTTTTTGTGTTATTGTCGATTATAATGAATCACTTCATGTAAACTATTGAAGTATCTTCTTATATGTTTACACCTTACAGTTATTTCATTTAGATCAGTATTGTCAATATATTTGTGGGATTTGTAAGAGTTTCTCCAACATATCAAAATGTGTCCATCTTTTCAGTGTTCATACTTATCTAAAATGTGAGACCGGATCTAGTCCAAACAGCCATTGCAGCTGTTCATTGGGAACATCATGCCACGGAGGACAAGGGAAATGTTCCCAATACACAGCTGCAAAGGCTGTTGTGACCGTTGGTAATTGGGACTTGATAGTTATCCAAATCCAAGCCATTTGATATGAAAGGAGATGCTCGTATTTTGTACATTGGTGGTAATGATTTAGAATTTGAAGTAGCAAGTAGGGGTGTCAATTGGACCGGATTTGATCCAACTTGATCTGGTTCAACATGAATGCATTACAGATGGAGTAGGCCCAATCTAATCCGGTGAGTACTTTGGACCATTTTTCCAATATGTTGGAATTGGTTTTCATTTAGATTGGTGCCAACCCAAACCTGGTCCAGTATTTTTATCTTCTATCAATGGAGTGGATATTGGTTCAATCCAACCCAATACAATATAAATCCAGTATGAATGGACCAGGATCAATCCAATCCAGGATCATTAAGTCTGGACTGGTCCAATTCAATGTATTATTGGCCTGTCTAATTCATCCAAATTGATTTAGACGGGTCCAACCCAAAACCAGTCCATTGGCAACCTTAATCAGTGTTTTCAAAACCGGACTGGACTGAACAGTTGGACCAGAAAAATTGGGAACTGGTCACCTGACCAATTCTGTTTCACCCCAAAACTGTCTTTTGGCCAATAACCGTTCATTTAGTCAATGAATCACTGACCTGAGTGGTCAAACTATCAACTCGGACAATGTTTTTTTGACATTTTTTTTTGTTTTTTATTTTTTGTCAAAATGGGCCATTCGTTCGGACTGGATGGTCAGACCGTACAACTGTATGTAAGACTAATTATGACTTGTCCTTATTAAATTTATTATTGATGACATTTCGGATGCAATCGAATAAGTACGATGATTTAAAAACTCAATCCGATTCGTCTTAACAGACACCTGAACATTATTCAGTTAAAACCAAGGTTCAAAATATGATACCCTTTTTTTTATGTTTTATTTATTTTTTTCAAAACAGGTTAGGGGGGGGGGGGCGGTTTAGGTCTCTACACCCTGAATCGGTCAGACCCCTAATACACCCATTATAGGGACGTATCGGAGGGGTCCTGGAACGATACGTATCAGCCAATACGGGCTGATATATGTCGATACTTTAAATCTTGGTTAAAACTGAAAAACAGAATTGAAAATTTCAGTTAACCAAAAAAACCAAATTAACCAAATTTCATTATATAATATGTAATATATAATATATAATATACGTTATAATATACAATATTTCATATATACTAATGAATTTCAATTTCAACCAAATACCGAACTGAAAATTCTGGTTTTGATTATTTCAATTTTCTTGTAATCCAATTTTGGTTCAGTGGTTCGGTTTTTACTGAATAAACCGAATACTCACCCCTAACATCCATGATCCATCTCGACCAGATTGGGCTCGGGTGATTGGAGCCACATTGGTCCGGGTTCCGGACAGGTCCAATATTAGATCATATTAGATTCATAATGTATTTGGGTTAAATCCCAGATAAATGCATGTATCTAGGTCCGTAGTTGGGCCAGAGTTGTGCTTGGATTCTTGATTTTAGATTCTAGCCAGATTTATTTTAGAATATGGATCTGTGAGGATCTAGATTTGCCAAAAACATTATAGTTCGTTATCGAATTTTCAGATCAATCCACTCGGCCGTTCCATTTCATGCCCTACCTGGTAGAATTGTCTTTGGCCTCCATGATGTACGTTTGCCATTATAAATAATAAAATACTGTTCTGGGGAGTACACTCCATGATGGACGACGATCTTAACAGAAGCCCTAGCTTTAATTAATAATAGAAGCATAGAACCACTATTTGTAATTGAAAACCAGTGCAGTTAGATCAGTCAGCTCCTCGATACCATGATAGCATCCAATTCGGTACAAGTTTCAAATGGTTCTCCTTATCTTTTGCATGTGATGTAAAACTACATGTTCCTGAAATATCGAAATGAATAACCATGTCATATTATAAAACTGCGACATCCACTAGTTAGGAAAAGGACAACCTTCCAAAGAAAGACCTTAATTTTTCCCGGACAGAAACCTTGAATTTGATAATTACGTAACCCACTGTTACTCCAGATGACACCTAGAGAGGTTCTGATTTCCAGCATATCTTATTTGTTTGTTTGGGTTATCCCATCTAAAATATAGACGTTGTTTCAGATATGAAGTAACAAGGCATTAAGTCTGTGTTTCTATTTTGTAACCTTTAGCATGATACCCTATAATGCAGACAGGAGAGAAGCATCTTGCGCTTACTTGTATTTTTAGCATCCAAAATCATAAGATGCCAGTCCTTGCAGCTCTGGTCCGTTGAGTCTGTTATTGTTCTCAAAACTGAGGAAAAAAATAGGAAAGTAAGATAACTCAGGTTTCAAAGAAGAAGATATTGAACTACAAGACAGAACAAGATTGAAGTGAATCTTTGTGTACATTGATCAGACGAAGAAACAAAGTGTACTATTGGATATGGAAAACAATGTAATCAGTTTTTCCTCTTTTTGTCTAAGCTGTCTTCCCTGACATGATCCTAATTCTGCCTCGATATTAACTGGTTCGAACTTTATGTGCAATGCATGTTGGAAGTACAAGGGATAAAGGGAATAAAAAAGAAAAATAAAAGTAAAGAAGGGTTTACCACTTCTTTGAAATAGCAGCTTTCATGGATCCTACTATGAGATCTTCCCACATGAAATTGCATGAAGGGAAAATCTAAAAATAAAGAACTATGCTCCAAGTTGGAAATTTCTATATGCAATGGGTATAGATGCTTGCATTTACATAGATAGTTATGTACACATTGGGCTTTCCTTTGCATGCATAAAGAGATACATGCACAAAATTATACATGTAGTTCCATTGTTAACAGAATTCACAAGTTAGAAATTCTTGTTAAAAAGTTTAGTCAAGTATGTGCAAATTCAATTACAGTACTGTGAAATCTATGCATATGGTGGTTCATTTGATGGATGGCATGTATATATATTGGCAACTGAAGCAAATGTCTGTCACGTTGGATTGCTAACCAAGTAGTTATCGTTTAGAAATCTATTGGTATAATATGACAGTTGTCCATATTTCATAAGATTTAGTAGAGAGCATCAGCAAGCTAGACCTAGTGTAGTTTTGTCACAGAATGCAATTTAAAGGTCCATCCTAAGTATATGGAGATATTTATGATGAGTCAAAATGACATCCTATGTTACCCATAAAAAAAAAATGACTTCCTTATGCAAGGACCAAAGCGTGTACTGATATCTAATGGTTGGATGAAAATAACGGTAGTAATGTTGTGAAAGATCATATATTTGTGGCCTGATCATGTCAATAATTTTCAATCTTCTAATTTGTATAATGTTTGAACCAGTTAAGTCCATTGATTGAGTATGGACATTGTATTAGCTGGAACTATGCTAAGTGACCCATTTTTATGGATAGGAATTACACATGCAACAAAAAACCTTTACACTATACTGATTTGGGTGTTTCAGATACTACAGTCGTCATCTGCATAAAATCTACCATATGCACATTAAGTGGCGTGGGGAGAACTGAAAACCAAAAACCAAATAAGAAATGTTGCTTTATTTTCCTAATGCTGTATTATTGCAAATCAAAGTAGTAAGAACCAATCTGCTGCAGTTAGCATGAGATGCTCACTGTTCCTCTGAGTTTCAATCTCAGTGATAACAAAGTTACCAACTTTTATTTAGTTTTATTTTATTTTTTAGAATCAAGCAACTGTTTTCCTCTTACTGGTTATTGACTACATGAGGTGCCGAGAATGTTCATCAGAAAAAGTAAATTTTCTGAACCATGAAAGGTTTCTACAAGATACCAGAAAATATACCCAAGAAAAAACCAGAAGGAATGGACACAATAATACCTTTGGATGGGGAAGCTGCTAAACGGTCCATCAATTGGAATTGTTCCGCAGAGATCGTTGTTTGAAACATCACTGCAATGCAAGCAAATAAGTTCTTGCAGGAAATGAAAAAAGGAGGCAAAAACACGGTTTCCTTCTTTTATACATACAAGACTTTGAGATTTGAAAGGGTAGTTAGCTCTCTTGGAATGGATCCTGTCAGCTTGTTGTTGTTGAGACGTCTGTTAAGACCATATCCAACAGGAAGAAAGATAAAACTTCCATAACGCAAAGTTCAAGCAATTCATCGGTAGAGAAGACTAGTCCAGCTAAAAGAAATCAACCAAACTTACAGAAACTTAAGTGACTTCAACTTGGCAAAGGACTTTGGGATCTCTCCTTCGAATTTATTGCCATACAAATCCATGCTAACAAGATTCTTCAATTTACCCAACTCCTCAGGAATTTCCCCTTGGATGTTGTTCTTATAAAGCTCCCTGCAACCGATATGAAAGTCTACTCTCGATTAGTTTAAAATCTTAAAGAACAAAAAACAAACAAATTTGAGCAATTGCAGAACTAAAGTGGGAGTGGGATTACAAGTACTGGAGATGCTTGAGACCGCCAAGCTCCGGCCCCAAAGTGCCAGAAATATTAGAATTACCCAGATCCCTACATGTAACAAGAAAAAGAAATAAGAGAACCCGTCAAAGAACTGTGAGAGAAGAGGGGGGTTAAAAGAAGATAAAAAGAAAACTTACAGTCTGATGACATGGTTGTTAGAGTCACAGGTGACATGAAACCAGGTGCATGGATTGACCAATGTTGGGTCCCAGCTCTGCAGAACATTTGTAGGATCCAACAGCCTGGTTCTTAAGGCATGGAGAGCATTTCCTGATTTTTTTTTTTTTAGGTTTAACCAAGCAGAATGACCAACAACAATTAACAAAGAGTGGAGAAATTAAACAGAATCAATCTCAAAACCCTAAGAGAAAGGGGGAGGGGACAAGAAACCAGCAAGTGAGGGATTAGTGGATTACCTTCAGAATTTGTTGAGATGGTTGGAGAGACTGTGAGGAGAAAGGCAAGAAAGGAGAGAAGGTAGGTTGGAGCCATGGGAAGAAGAATAAAGGGGAGGAAGAGGAAATGAAATGTGAAACCAGGTCCAGGTGCCGCTGCTATGAAGAAATACGAATATCAACTATGATTGAAAAAATAGAAAAAAAAAGAAAGGAAAATACACGAGGAAGAAAGTCTTTTTTTTTTTTGTAAGGTCCGCATTCAATTCAGAATTATGAGGTGGAGTGCAGTCTATTTATCCCTTTGTTTTGTTGCCGCACCGGAGCCGGAGGCTGCTGTGCCGTGCTGCCTGCTTCTGGGTTAAGTGGTTGACTAAAAAAGAATCGTACGGTTTGGGACAAGTCCAATTTGAATTTGTTTTGTTTTATATGCTACTTATGCAGAAGAAAAATTGTCTGTTATACAATAAAATAATGCAATACACCACGCATCTGAAACTCTGAATTCTGTAATGCCGTGCCGTGGGGGGACCGAAATTCGTATGGTATTGGTATATTTGCTGCTTTGCTTGAACTGATCCACTAACCCTACTCTTCATGACAAAGAATGTTAATCTCACTCTTCATGGAATTGTTTAGTTACTTGCCCTTATAAAATGAATATTTGGAATTTGGAAGTGGATGCATACACTTTGAACATTGCATAAAGAGTTGGATTACATTGCATGAGAAGATGGACTCCAGTTTTAGAGCAATTATTTTGTGCAAAACAAAAGGAGATGCCAAAAAGGTTAGGTATATATATCTCGTCTACCCTCCAAAAAGGTCACACCTCCAGAGAAAACATGGACCATATATACATTGGGTAATGACATGAGCTAATGGAGTACAATCATATCACATTGCTTCAATTCCAAAACACCTAAACCTCAACCTCATTACACATGTACCCATTTGGCATCATCTCATCTCATCTAATTTTTGTGGGGTATACGAAACTAGCAACTAAATCCATGAAACGCATGGATTTGAATAAAATCTTGGTTAGGTTTGGATTGGTAAATTTGGATTTTAATCAGTTTAAGTCCAGGCTAGATTTTATATTTAAGGTTGGTTGATTCTAAACCTGATTCAAACCCATCTAATTTATATCTTTATTAAGAGAGTTAAATAAGGATCAATGAAAACTTGAGAAGAAGTTATGGATTTAATGGGGGAAGGAGAGATATTACAAGCATTAACCATTGAAAGAGGGGGTTAAGAATGATTTTATTAGAAAAAATTAAGACTTAAAGAGGGTTTTTATTATAGGTTCTTACATTCTTTACAATTCAATTAAAAATAAATAACCATATATGTGAAAAATTAAATTAAAGGAATAGGAGTGCATGAGCTCTGTGGCTCACCTCTCCTCTTTCCTCTTTTTAATAAATGATTTGGTTTTTCATGAAAGATGAAATACTGCAACATTTTTTTTGGATAAATAAAACAACTGCAACATGTATAATGTATTTGGCATGATTTAATTTCTTTTATTTATTTGTTGATCAGATTATTTAAAGTCATACATTACCAACCTTGTAGCACATATCCATCAAAGAAAACAAAAATGGTAGCACATTGATCCGGTTGCCCATTTATATGCCAAAACATAAATATCGATTTGAGTTGTCTATCTAAAGGTTAATTAATGCTACCCATTTGATGATTAAGACCTAACATTTTCTGCCCTTCTATTTTTGATAGATCATTGATCTGCCCCCTGTTCTAATACATTTTAGTAATTGAGGTTAACCACAGGTTGGTGGCGTTTAAATTATCATCTAATACTAGTAGTAGTATTTTTATATTCTGTGCATCTTAAGATAAACGTGTAATATGAGTAGACAATGTACGATTGGTACAATAATAATTTTCCACTTATCCGTTAATCAGTTATTAGACGGGTTTCTCTAACTAAGGGGGTATTCTGTAGTGTGGATAAGAAATTGGTGGGTATGGATTGGTCCACATTATACCCTATTCTGAACTATGGATTAATTCATACCACACCCTCTGGCAGGGACTAATCCACACCACACCACAGTCCACAACCGTTTTGAGTTGTGGACAAATTGTGTGGACTATACCAGTCCACACCCACAGTGACGTTCTGTAGGCGTAATGTGGATCAGTCCACACCACATTTTTTGATTCCATGTATCTCATATACATTTATGAATGATCTATACCAACGTTTTAAAAGATGACCCGGAAACGAAACCGTTATGGCCATTGGTTTCTGAGTCGACAATCCGACCATCCGGTTCGAACAGGTGACCCATTTTGACAAACAAATTAAAAAATAAAAATAAAATAAAAATAAAAACAGTAAAAACCATTGAATGGGTCGACAGGTCGGTGGTTCAACCGCTCGGGTCAACGGGTTGTTGACTTTTTCAATGATTTTTGGCCAAAAATCGGGTTTGGGGTAAAACAGAACCACTTGCCTAGGTGGTTCCTAGATCGAACAGTCCGACCATCCGGGTCAACAGTAGTTTGAAAACCTTGATCTACACAGTTAATCATAAATATCTAATTTTTGCATTTTATTATGATAAATATATTGAAAATGCATCAATGAATTAATATTAATTAATAAATATTAATTTTTATAAAAACAATAGTAAAATAATTAAAATTAAAAAAATATTTTAAATATATAAAATATTATTTTATTGATAAAAACATTAAAATTAAAAAAATAAAAAATTAAGTAAAATAATTAATATTCTATTGAAAAAATATTAAAATGTGAAACAAACAATAGGGCTTCAGCCTTTCAGGGAAAGTGTGAAGCAGGGGATCAAAAATCAAGTGTGGATGGGCCCTAATCACGAGATTTTGCCGTGGATGAGAATTGGGGTGTGGACAGGACCAATCCACGATATAGCGTGGACTGGTCCCGTTCACAGCCAGTAAAACGGGTGTTCATCCTGTGGACGGGACCATGAGATAAACACGGTGATGAACACTGCCTAAAAGTGTAGATATGATCACCAAAAGTCCAGGCGGGTTAATTTCTTGCACGATTTATCATTAACAAATCATTATCATCCTCATCATCCAAGCCTAATCCCAAATTATACAGGATCGGTACATGCTTCCCATTCCCTTCTATTTGATGCCATATCCTCTTTATCATTAACAAATATACATCTAAATACCCAAATTAGAAAATTTGATTCCTATTTCCAATACACAAACACGCATAAGGAAATCCAGTCTCGAATGGCAAGCCAAGCGAGTTCTGCTTCAGTTAGGGCAAAGTCCATTCGAGCAGCTTTTATTGCCTTGCATTGAGAATATCTCCATACTTGTGTGCTTTATTTCATGGGGAGATATTCCCAATGCAAGGTTGCAAAAAGTTGTTAGAATGGTGTGAGCACACATTTGCCCTGATAGAAGTCGATCTCAGTCAAAGCCATCAACTACACATTTACGTACGAGTCCGAATCTGCTCCTCACTACTTGGCGCCTTACAAAGTTCTAACAAAATGTGAGGACGCCATACGTCCCAAAATCATGTGAATTAGTATACACGGGTGGGGAGTCTAACAACTGTTAGTCTCCATTCCATTAGCCCACGCCCCCACCCCCAGCCCAAGTATTTCCCACTACCTCTCATGTTTTCTCTCTGGCAATAAAAATATGAATCCCAAGTGCCCTCCACCGGTTGTAGTGCTTTCCCTAGCAGCTGGCAACAATTTGAAGGCTCCCTGCGATCACCAACAATACGAGACTCCGACAACTTTGCTGCTTTCTCTTTTCATGTCCAAACTCTCATCCCTCTTTCTTTTCTCTTCACGAAGGACCCAAACCCTCTTTTCTCTTCTAGCTAGGATCCAAACCTTTTCATCTCTCTAGTGGGGATAATCTCATCCATGAGAATAGACAAGGCAACTCGATTCTGGCGATTCAAACATAGGTAAATCTTTGTTGAAAAATCTCATGTTGGGGTTTTTTATTTTTCTTTTTTTTCTTCCAAACCGGTTCGATTGAATATGGTGTTTTCTGGTCCGAACTGGAGCATACAGAGACCGGTTTCAGTGAACAATGTTTTCTATTTCTAGAAAGTTTGTTCATTGAGACCAACAACTTTTCTTTATTTTTATACAGAGACCAGCAACTTTAGAATTTGTTGTCTAGTTTTTCCCTTCTTTTTGCTGAATAACTAGTTGTTAATTTGCTATATCCCACTAGTTCTTAATTTATTCATACAAGAAGTTTACCATCCAAATGCAACTGAACTGATAATGGTCACGGTGCTAGCAAATTGTAATTAGTCACCGTGAAATCGCTGTCTGCCGAAGAAAGAACTACGACTGGTGGAGGGCGCTAGGGTTTAGCAGGGACTTAGCGATAAAGAAAAGAAAATTAGAAATAAAAATTGTGGAGGGGGAATACTCGATGAGGGGCAAGGTTCAAAATTTCATCACGTATCGGCTGATACGTATCATTCCGGTAGGGATTCGACACGGTACAAAATACTAAATTAAATGTCTCGTATCTATTCATCGTATCGAACGTGTATCATAAAAGTATCAGCCCATATCGAGGTGTTTCGTGACCGTATCGACCAACACGCTACCGATACGGGGGTGTATCGGTCGATATAGTACGAATTTACTGTAGATGAAATGCGAATAAAAACCCTTTCGAAAGAGGGCTTTGAAACCCACTTCAGAAGCACTCTTTCTTCCCCAAACTCTCCAAAAACATTCATTCTATTACTAGAGACTCAGATCTACTGAAAGTTCGCCAAAAAACCTACAAGTTTGCATGATCCAACAACTTTTTCAAGGTTGTTAAAAAAACAACGAAAATAGGTATGTTTTCTCATTTTTTTGCTGTTTCAGCCAATCTTTTTGTGTTTTTTTACTTGGATGCTTGAAAACATTTTTATTTGTGTTGATATAATTTTTGTACAAAAAATTCCATGTATTTTGATGCTATATGTAGATCTTTGTCAATATTTGAAGAAATTCCAGAATAGTGAAAAATCTGAAAAAAAAATAAAAATTTTGGTTTTTCTTGTGATCTACCTCTAGAAATTGACTATGTTGTAGATCTATGGATGATCTACCATGTCCATAGATCAATTGAATTTTTTCTAAATAATTGATTTTTTTTTAAATTTTTATTCCAATTTTCGGAATAATATATATATAATTTCTTCAATTTTATGTGATCTAAGTATCTAACCCTATATGTTGAGACTTGAGTATGTTGTAGATCTAAGGTTGATCTAACATGATATATAATTCCATAATATTGACCTATCATGTGAAAAATTTAGTTTATTTTTTTTA